AAATATGTCTTGCCAGTTCTCAAACAGTATTCAAGCACACTCATTTCACCTGTTCCAGGAGGAATCCCACAGGTAAACTCTCCTGCTACAGTACAAACAGATAAGTATATCATTTAAGTATACTTGTATATTTTCATATCTGATGATATATGATTTTGAGTGTGTTCCTGTCCTCTACTTTGATCCCAACCAAACACTACAAGCTCTTGACAAAAGACTTCAGTACTACTTATTTTATCTACAAGTTTTAAATTCTCTGCTCAACTGTACCAGTGAAACTCAGTCCAAATTAGTGCAGCTGCCATCAAGCAAAACCTGATTAATAGAATAAAAAGGAGGAAAAACAAAACCCAGAATACATTTGAGACCATCCAATTTTCGCTAGTGCCTGAAAAGGCAATTAACTGAGTGGCTGAAATTCATATGAGGCAGCAGTAAGTGTAGCACATGTCTACACCTCAGTGTTAGGCCACTTTTGAAATTGCGTGTTCAGGCCCATCCTGAAAATCTTTAAGGTGAATGTTGGGAAAAGAGCAATGTATCATCTTCACTGTAGCAGCTGGAATGCATTCCAAATGCCATGCAGATCGCAGACAGCAATGCGGCTCTTATACTAAGTAAAAATCACACTATAAACCGTTGGAGTATACAGATCTGAATTAAAAAAGAAAGATTGGCAACAGCCAAATCCTCTTCCTAGCTATGCTGAAGTCTCTTTGAAACAGACCTTGGCTCAGATGAGTAAACGTCCGCCAATAAAATAATCAGAATTCAAAATCTTGCTGTATTCTCAGAGAAATCCTGAGTCCAAAACCAAATACCATGTGCCTAGGGTGGAATCAAAATCCAGACTTATCCCTCATTGTCATCATAGGCAACAGAAATTTCAGCAGCAGGCTAAGGCATACCAGCTGATCTAGCCTGGAGAGCCAGGACAGCCATTCTTAATAGTCTCTTTTAAAAAATCCTGATGCTTATCGTTGTTTTTGTTTTTTTTTCAAAGACAAAACAAGCCTTAAGAAAATACTACTGGGGACATGAAAAATAACAGACTGCACTAAATAAAAGTGCAGATGGTTTATTATATCAGTTTAAGAAAATCCACAACATGCACTCAATATACTAGGATTATATGCACTAATAATTGCAAATGATATTTCAAATGCAAAGAGATATTCTGCTAATGAGTGGTGGAAAGGCAACACCTTTTTTGAAAGACTTTGTTGAGACAAAATCTTTTTCCTAAGGCAAGCAATACAGCAAAACACAACAAAATCCTAATCTCACCTCCTAATACATCTCCTAATACATCTCCTAATCCCACCAGTCTCAAAGACAGCTGGCGGAAAAAAGAATTTTTGACAATCTGGCCACAGAAAACATTAACTTCCTCTGTTGATACTGACTTCCCTTCATAATCATTTTTGAATGTCCATATATACATAGAGCCAGTTTGGATTTTTTTGCTCTTGCTATCCTAATGGCATTTTCTATTTTGGCTGTCTTAGACTCTGAGCTCTTTGCAGTAGGAATTTTCTATGCTCACCATTGTAACCCAGGCCTAGCCAAATTTAAGACACTTGCCTGTTATCAGAATGATTTCTGTGACTAAGTCACTGTTTCCCCTTTGATCTCTTGAAGAACTCACACATGAACTTGCTAGAGTACCATCCTTTACATGCCTCCCCAGTACTTAAGAGAGCTGCTCTTTTCTTTATTTCCCCATTAAGTCATATATGCCTGTAGGACATCATTGTGTCCTCAACACCTCAGATCTAATAAATAAATCTCACTTTAAAGCATTCAGACCATTGTAAGTTTTTCCTTCTCTTAGACAAAAAAATACCAGAAATACATTTCTAGTCCTTACATTGAAACCTCATGAGATTTTGAAGATATTATTAGCTAGAGCTGAGCACAGCTTTAGGGAATGTCCTGGAGTTTTCCAACATATTTCCAATGACATCCAAGAGTTTGGGCAGGTTTTAGCTGCTCACACTCTTTCTGATTTAACTGAGACAAAAGTGGCGTATGGATTGAAGGAATACTGAGCAAGGAGTTCAGACGTGGACTACAGAAGCTTACCAGAACTCCTCAGGAAAGTTTTAGTCTGTAAATCCACCTGCAAATTTATCAGAAGGTGCATATCTTCTCATGAGGGTCTGATTTTAGACAAAGAAGTCTCCCTGACAGCATTTTGAAACGTCTGCTCTAGGTGAGTAACAAGGAACAAAGGTACCTGCTGTGCAACTTCTACCCAGCACTCTCCAGGAGACTGGAGGGTGTTATTTTTCGGAGAACCAGCTAGCTCATCACAAACTATCATTCAGCACTTGAATGGACCGGTCCTCTAGCCCTGACATATCTCAAGTACCTTGCTAGGTCAATTACATTAAATGCATCAACATTATTGACAGAGCAATAATTTTCAATTTTTGTTTGGCTTTTTTTTTTTTCCAGTGAAAATAGCAGTTAACAGAACATGTGCTCAGAGAACATTTTAATAAAGCTAACAAACATACACATTTTTTTTAAAATGCGTAATTTCCATTAATACCAACCAGGACAGTTATCATTTACTAGTATCTGTAGTCTATACAGATTTCAGAGATTTCTTATAGTAACTTAGAGAAAGTTCCTTATTTATGTGAGATTATCTGAAATTAATATTCTCCATGTTTTAATTTCCATGGAGACTTTGAAATTGAAATTTTATTTCAAGTTGGCAGCACCAAGTGCCATGATAACTCAGTGGGATGGTTTAGTCAATCATAATTCCTTAAATTTTTTCTTTTCATAAAGCTTGACAGCAGCTGTGCAATTTTTCTTGGATGTAGACTGTACCGTACATGAATGTTCTTACTTCAGGCTAGAAATGAGTAAGCTACACTGCAATGCCACATACACTGTATTGTAGGGTGCGGGATTTCCAATGATTTAAAAAGTAGGACTATCCCAGAGTTTACACAATGTTTTCTGCATTTGTTTATAAATTCAGTTGTCATTTTAACTGATACTGACATGTTAAAAGGTATTTAAAAACTATTCTATTGCTCTCCCTGAATAAGACGCTGTCATTGGAGACTGCACCCCATGGTAGAGACTCACACTGGAGCAGTGCATGAAGAACTGCAGCCTGTGTGAAGGACTCACATTGGAAGAGTTCATGAAGAGCAGTCTCCTGTGGGAGGGACCCCATGCTGGAGCAGGGGAAGAGTGTGAGGAGTCCTACCCTGAGGAGGAAGAAGCAGCAGAGACAGTGGGTGGTGAACTGACCACAACCCCCGTCCCCTGTCCCCTTGTGCTGCTATCAGGAAGGAGATAGAGAATTCATGAGTGAAATTTAGCCCAGGAAGAGGTGATGGGTGGGGGAAGGTCTTTTTAAGATTTGGGTTTATTTCTCATTACTGATTTAATTGGTAATCAATTAAACTAACTTCCTAAAGTCCTTCCTGTTTTGCCCATGACAGTAATTGCTGAGTGATCTCTCCCTGACCCTATCTCAACCCACGAGTTGTATTTTCTGTCCTCTGAGGAGGGGGAGTTATAGAATGGTTTTGGTGTCCAGCCAGGGTCAGCTCACCACAGGTGGGTTTACAGACTGCTCCGCATGTTGTAGGGGAAGCTCAGCACCTATGGAGTGACATATCACAGCTATCCATTAATAGTAAAAACCACCATTCTTATTCCACTAATAATAAACCCCTCCATTCTTATTTCACTGTTGTGCTTGGCATCTGATAACTTTTCAGTTCATATTCCTATAAGACTAGAAGCCAGTACAATGTTGCTGTTTCCTCCTCAACAAACAAGAGGCACTTGCAGTTTCCTCATCTTCCTATTGGTAATGTATAACTGCATCTTCACCTGGCTACTGGGAAGAGCTACATTTTCAGAGAAAGTTGACAGAGCTGTGAAAACAGGACAGGCAGGACCTAACTCTGACAAACCCTACAGGAATCACTCTAGAGCCAGCAAAAAAAAATATTTACTTCCATGACTACATGTCTGAAAAGCTGGGTTTTCTCCACACCAACTGCCTGTGTCTGCTGATGCCAGGTTTTTTTATGGTGTCTTTCTGCCAACCTGCTGAAAATAACATGCCTTTTGGATTCTGAAAGTGGAAAACATGCTATGCTGCTGCATTTTATGCTGACGGGCAAAAGAGACACTACTTAAACTTCCCAACCATCCCAGGCAGGTTGCCTGGCTTAGCATGTGATAGACTGAAGGCTAAGCAGAGCACCTCCTCTTTTATTTTCATTTTCTAATATGGCTTTCACCACCTTGGCAGTGGTAAAAATAATATCACCCAAGAAAAGAAGAACAAGATGGGAAGGAAACACAGCTTAATTAAAAACACAGACCTCATGCAAGTAGAGGAAAATCCATTTTTAAACCAAGAGAATCTGATTCCAGGCCACTTTGGAAACCACAGCAGATAAACAGTTGCCTTAAACTGGGTGAGTCAAATTCTTCATTTTGTTTTAAAGATAAAAAATGTTGTATTGACTCAACTCTGAGCCCATACAGCATTGATGTGAATCCAATTCTATGATGCATTGCAAGCAAAACACTGCGGTGTCACCACAAATGTTATGAAGCCACTCTTTTGAAAACATAAAAGCAGAAAAACAGATTTACAGGAGCCAGATGCACCAAGTTAGGATTCTTTTCTTTCTTACTTTTCCTTCGAATAATAATGAGTAAAGCTCTCTAATTTGAGCCCATGATGCTTGTTTGCTTTATTGCTTATTAGTATGACATAATGACTACATAAAATGGAATGATTACAGGTTTTAAAATAAAATAACTTGTTTGACTGAAATAATTCTGTGCATGTGTTTTTCATTTTCAATTTTGTTCATATTGGTAGTGCCCTATTTTCATTTACTCATACCTCTGGGATTCAACTTTTTGCTTCTATCTTTACAGTCCTGGTATAGTCATTACATGGTAAAAGGGATGGGGTGAAGCTGCAGCAAATGGCACAAGGATACAGTCCCTTCCTGGAAAGAGGATTTTGTGGCGAACCATTTCTCCCATAATGCATCCCACAGACCATATATCCACTAGAATAGCAGAGACAGGGAAGTGAAGAAGGAGGGAAAAAAAGAAAAGTTAACTACGATATTTCACTCCTAAAGGAGGGGAAAAAGAGCAGGTTGATCAGAACAGTACAGTTTGTTTTGTGGTTTTGTTAGGGGTTTTTTTTCATGTCTTACCAAAAAAATAAATAAGTAAATAAGTAAAAGCTGTGTCAGTCAGCTTGACAGTAGTTAGTAACAATGGTGGAAAAAGTTTAAAATCAACATTTTTGGGAAAAGGCTCACAGCAAGTAAAGAACAAGTAACAACTGCACAGAGTCATAGTATACACTGAGTTTATGGTAAAAAAAACAGGTTTTTTTTTTTGTTTGTTTGGTTTTTTTTTTGTAAGGAAAAGATAACAACACAAAACCTCAGGCTAGACAATGATCAACTGGAACAAATCCTACTTGCAACCAGGCAGTTTCTAGGTTTTGCCATGCAGGACTGAGTCTCCTTGCAGCGGTACAGAAGAGGTTCTACTCACATAAATAAAGGCTGTATAAATACCACCCTTAAGGGTTATTTAAAACTCCTGCTTCAAGATCTGTACTTGTGTCCTAGGTACCTATCTCTACATACCTGTACCTACATACCAACTGGAAAGAACTGGAGAGTGTGACCTGTGTGGACTCTGTTTTTTACTTCATACTTAAATGCTAAAACAACCACTTTGCACAAGTACCATCAAGAGTAAGAGCATTTATTTTCCTGATCCTGCATTTAGCTTTTAGATGCAATATGCGTAGTCACATTATCTGCTTGACCTGGCTGGTTTGGGGTATTTTTGTCATCTTACAATAAAAAAGACTAGATAGATAGTGACACAGTATGAACAGAAAGAACAGACTTGCATTCCATGTGAAGGGGAAAAAACTGTTTTTAAATTCTTTAAAAACTATGTTGTTTCTCAGCTTTGAATCCTCATTTTGTGGTTATGCTTGACCTACACAACCAGTTTCTCCTCTTTTTCTTCCCCTTTTTATCCTCCAAAAGCAATCCAAACCAAACCAAACCAAAGAAACAAACAAACAACTCATTTCTTGGTAAAACAAAATAAAGGTGAAATGTTCCATTTGGGAAAAGGAGGGTATAGGTACCAGGGGCATGGGACAGCAAGAGCATGCCTGAGGCAGTGGCAGAGTTTTCTTCAAACTGACAGTTATGGGACCTTCCACAGAAGGGCAGCAAACTGATGGTAATTATGCATCTTTAGCCAACCAAGTGCGGAAAGAAAATGAAAGCATTGAACGGTCCTTGTACAGGCAGTATATGCAGTAAGAAGGGGAAAAAAGGTAGGGGAGCTTCAGTAATGTGGCAGCATAGGCCAGAGCAGGGAAGCAAAAACCAACCCTTTCTGTTGACTTCCTTGGGAGCTGGATCAAAGCCTCCAAGCAGACCAGATCCTCCAAGGAGAAAGCTGACCTTCTTTTTAAAATATTTTGTTTTCTCTCTCTGTTTACTTTATTTTGGCTTTGTACAAGTTGACAGAATCATTCATCTTGAGCCAGATTCATTGCCCAAGGAAGTCAAAGGAAGTCTCCATGTTAACTTCAGTGGGCATTTGAACAAGACCTTTGGATGTGGCAAACATTCTTAGTACCTTCCCAGCTGTGTACTTCATCACAAGAGTGTCTAACTTTTTCTTGGTGCGATTTTAATCATGTGAAAAACAAGTGCTTTTTCTGTCCTTTCAGGGACAATAACAACAACAATAGTAATCATCTACTACATGTCTGGAGAGGAAAAAAATAAACACAAAATAGTTCATTTCAGAATAGAAGGAACTCTGGATTTTGACAAAGGAACCATCTAAGCATGCTGAGCCTAGTTCAAATCTCTAACAGCACTTATAAAAATTAACAATTACAAAATACTTTAAGGAAGTTTTTTTTTTAAGAAATTATTCTTTTCACTTAGACTGTGCTTAATCATCCTCTACTTTTTAGACTTTAATATTGAAATGTGTGCTGTAAATTCATAAACATTACAAATAATTCTTGCAGACTTGCTAATTTTGGAGAACTTTTTGTTAGCATGGCTTTATTGTGTAAGTCATAAAATCAGCACCCAAAATCAGTTCAATGCCCTTTATAGGATACAGCTGGCTGCTAGTAAAAGTTCTCGTGCAGGTTAGGTAACCCCTTCAATGTAAATTACATAGAACACTTTTTAACAAAAAAGTGGTTTTGACATTTGCTGTGCTTGTCATTGAAAATTTTCTGTGTCAAACAGACCACTGGTAGTTTTGACAACAGAATCTGAGTCCTAGCTGGCCTACCTGGCACTCAGGTGCAATTCACAGCTATGTTACAAAATGAGAATCACTTATTAAGTTTTCCCTTCATACTTTGCAAAATGTGAATTCTTCCTTACCTGCTTCTCTATAGTGAGCACCCCCTACCTGCTTTTCACAGTCTTTCCAGGGATCAAGAGGTATCCAGATCCCTCACAGACTGTTCAGAGCAAAATCCTATTTATTTCTAGTGAAATTATATACAAATCAGGTGCATGTTTTTTTTCGCTTCAGCTAAAACACATGAAAACTGTCAGCAAAACCTAGGAGTTTAGTTAAACCTACCATAAAGATAGAAGCCATTCCTGATATTCAGATTGAACTCCAGATATGGAGAAATTCTGGGAGGGTTAGGATTCCCTATTTCAGCTAGTATCTCATCTTCCCTTGAACAATTCAGAGACCCAGACTCAAATTTAGAGCACATCATTCATTCAGCAATTTCAGTGGTTTTCACACTGTTTCACAGACACAGAAGCCAAAGAGAAAGAGCTAACTGTATTTGCTAAGTTCAACCATAACTAAGAACAAGGTTCTTAGTACTCTGCAGCTCCACAGTGATACATTCACCAGCACAGCATCCCAAATACATTCAGTAGCTGCAGTACACAACAGCGAGAAACTGCTCTAAATGACCTGCCTTTTAAATTATAACTGTCATTTCCCATTATGTTTTCTTTTTCTCCTGGTGCCCCTTACAATTGTAGAGGTAGACCTTCCACTTCAGGTCATACTGTGCTTGCTACAAAATTGCAGCCCTACCATTCTCCTTGTAGCCCATTCCCAAGATGACCTCTGGTGCTCTGTAGTAACGTGTCACCACATAGGGAGTCATCATGAAGCTAGTGCCCGCAGTCCTGGCCAGTCCAAAATCCAAAATCTTCAAAGTGCAGTCAGATTTTACCACAATATTACTTGGTTTTAAATCCTGCAAAAAGATAGTGAAAAGGCATATGACTGACTTTCATAAAGCCAGGCATAGCTGTGATATGAACTGATATTTTAGGTCAGATTTAAAATAGAGTTTTACTCTCCTGATACTTACAGCTACTATCAAAAATACTTTAAAATACACAGCAAAACCTGGCTACTGTTTCTCTAAGCAAACTCTTCTGGGAGATGGTCTAACTTTGCATACAGTGGGGCTTTACCTGGATCCTACTGGTGTTAAATTAATTGCATTTAGCAGTTCAAGAAACTAAAATGGTACTCTGGTACTAATCCTGAGTTTTTGTGTTTTTTTTTTAATGCTGTAAGCCTAATAGAGACATTCCAACTGTATGTGTGGAGATACCTTAATGCTTCATTTATAATAATTCAACTCATCCTTTGCCAGTTGACTACTGGAAGCCAAATCTATAATCCTTTGCTAACCATATGACATGCTAAGAAAGGAGATTTTTGTATATTGTAAAGCAATGTCCACTTTGTAAACCATTTTATCAGCCCTCGTTTTCTTCCTCCATTAATGGAAGGAAAACATTTTTTGATTGTTTTTTCATATGGAAATCCCAAATTAGTAAAAGCACATTTCAATAAAGATGATAACTCAGGATATTTTCAATCTGTTCAGAACTGCCTCCTGCCCACTGTCATATGAACCGTTCCGCATGTCAGCAACAATCACACCTCTGGCTTGCACAACCAGGTACCACATTCTTACCAGCCACAGTATTCTGACACGAAAAGCAAATGAGAGGATGCAGAAGACTTAGCAGTCTTTGAATTCGTTTTGCATATATAAATGATGGCAAATGCCAATTCCATACAACCTAACATCTGCAGATCCTGACCAAGCAATACTTGGACCACAGTGCATCAGTTCAAAGTGGCTGAATGTCATGTGTGGTAAATGTAGCCAGCTGCATTTTCAGGACAAATAACACTAATCCACACCTTTCAGAGATCATAATCACTTTGAAGATTTCAGTGTTTATTATTTACTTTTAATAATCACATAATCTTTTAATTGATTAAATTTACAAATAATCTCATTCCTAACACAAACACAAAGATATCCTGCTAAGGGGATGGACCATGATTCATAAGTTTATAGTAATTTTTCTGGGAGATAGGGCTTTGATCCATAGTACACAAGAATCTCAAGTGGTTTCTAAAGTCTTTATGATGATGTCACATGCTTCCCTAAGTTTTAAACCAAAGACCCCTTACCCTGTGAATAATTCCTGCAGAGTGAAGATGCTTGATACCACAGAGCATTTGGTACAGTAGATAAGACATACGTTCATGGTCTAGCTCCATCTGAATGACCTGGCACAGATTGGCATCCATTAATTCCATTACCAGGTAACTGAATGAAAAAGCAAAGTCATAGTGTTATTGTCTGTGTTGAAGAGGAGCCACAGCATCATCTCAAATAAGTAACAATGTCTTCTTGCTCAATATTCACTTTATTTCTAGGGACTGGGAGTAACGCAGCTGGAGACTGAGCCTACTCACAATGCTATCATTGTGGTGGTTGTTTCTCACTACACCATCTCATGGCAGAGATACCATTACTTTAGCAACCCAGCAAAACAGCTGGATTGCTGGCCCTTTCTTGGTGTATTCCCCATGACAGAGACTATACCCTACATGAACAAACAAGCAGCAAGACACTGAAATGTGCAGAAAACAGAAGAGTCACAGCATCAAATGTCATGACTGTTTGGCCTTTGACCATTATGAGGAATGGCTACCACAGTACATGATAGGCTAAAATATGCAACCCCATCCGAAATGTCCCCAAAACTCTTTCTAAGATTTCATGATTTCACACAATTCTCATTACAACTAATTGACTTTGTGCTTCTGATAAATAAGCTTCACTGACAACTTCATTAGCCCAATCCCCTTTAGCAATAAATATTTTAAACACATTAGCTCATTTCTTACGAGACATCCCACAAGCACAGCTGATTCGTAAGTGTAACATTACATTAAAGCAGTCTCACACTCCATTTCAATGTATGCTGCATGCCTTGTCTTTTTCTCCATCACTAGTTCCCTCCTTTTCTCTGCACAGGTCTGCAGTGACAATGTTATGAGAGAATTCCAAACACCAAAACCAGAACAGTAGTCGCCTGACTTCAGCCATCTCTCTCTGTTATCACTACTGATACTAGATACAGAATGGGAATACATTTCCATACAGTGTATACAGAATAGGGGAATGACTAAAAGATAAAAGGAGTACAACTGTATAAATCACTGAATGTTTAAAATTTCATTCAGGGCCAGTACATACTATGCACAGTAGCACTTGTAAACTAGGGCAGTGTTCAGCAGAGATGCTAGTTGTGCTCAACACCTAGCACTAGTCCCCCAGGCAAGTAATTTCATGCAGTTCAAGGTTATATCAAAACAAATATGAAATGAGGAAACATTTCACTTCAGTCTGTTTTACAGGATGTTATTTCCGACTGAAGTGCCACATATATATTAGGGAGTCACATAGCAACCATCATTCCCCTAGCAAACTAATAGCACAAAAGCAGACCCTTTTAACTACTCAAACTTCTTCATCTGCATCTGAAGACAAACACAAGCATTGACCTCTCAAGAAAAGCCATCAGCTAGGTTTGCACACTATTATGCTGCTTAGGAAGGCCTGTATTTGTCAACTTATAGCTGTCTAAAGTGCTCTCAGTATGGGTATGCAGCGTATCTGTCTACTCACAGTGTAGACTACACATGATCTTCTTTAGAGTGGCTTATAACATTTGCCTTTTGAGAAGTTATTGCATTTCAGGTACACTATAATCCCCTCCCATCTCTAAAGCTTTAGTTTAATTACAGCCTGTGTTACTTACACATCCTGGAATTCCTCCAGAGATTTCTGTGGTGTGAAGACATTTAATAAACTGATAATCTGAAAAGCAAAATACACAAAGGATGAAGAGAACAGATAAATGTAAGCAGCTGAACCCATTTTGAAGTATGTGTTAAAGGATAAATTCTGTTTTTTCACTGCTCAATTTACACTAACACTTCTCACTTTATGGATCAGTAAAAAGTCAGCAATATTCAACATAAAATACTGCAGATCTCTCAGATTTCTTCTAAGTGCACTTGAAATGGCTTCTGAGACACAGATTAGCAATGATCAGTGACAAACCAAAATGCTAAGGGTGAGACAGTCCTCTGAATTTTGAAGTTACAGGTTCAAAGACCAACTTCAGCTCAGTCTAGCACAGCAGTCCTCATGCTACAGCCAGAGATTTCTTACATATGAAGAATGTTTACCTGAGGGGACAGATAATCAAGGACTACCTTATTAAAAATAAACAGAAGACCTTCGCTCTTTTTGATATGGCCTCAATTCCTTTGAGGGCACACGCTCACATACGCTGATACAAATCCCATTATGAGAGGTACCACATTTTTGGTAGGAGCACTTTAAAATGCTAGGCACATTCTGGGCAAACACATCTTGCATACTGCAACTCCTTTTTGTCCTTTCTTTTTCTTTAATTTGTTTTGTGTTTTGTTTAAATGGGCTGGGCTGTTGAAAGATACTGGTAGGAATGTGTGAAACAGCACAGAGGTAAAACACGACCTCACATGACTGAATTGTCCATGTTTTTCTTATTGCATCTACCTCTAGGCAACAGAGGTAGAAGATGTCAGCACAGCTGCCATGAAGACAACATCTGAATGCTTTCCTCCCCACCTTCATCACCTCTCTAGGATTTTCTCTTTTTCCTCTTGCCTCCACACAGGCGCCTTTACAATCCTCTCCTTCCTCTGCACTCCTCTGTAAAAGCAGATTAAAACTCTGACCCAACCAGTGTTGTGGTGTTATCAGTTTTATGCAGCATTTATAAAGTTATATATTTAAAGTTAATACCACTCCCATTGCCCTCTCTTTCCAGTCCATTAAAAACATGAAGTGAGAATGCATCGTTCTCTGTTCTGCAGGGAGAGCTACTCACTCATCCCTGCTTTTTCTTTCCATGTGAATTTGTGATTGAGAATAAGTAAGTGTAAAATCTCACCTTACATCACACTTTTTGAGCCCAATTCCTCTTCACATAGGGAGAGACTAATTTTTAGGATATGAAGCAAGACTAAGCATGTAGCAAACTGGAAAAATCACTCCTAATTAAAAGGAAAGGGCACAAAAGCCACAGCAGAAACTGAGGAATTTTAGGAAAAATAAATTCTTGGGAAATCCCTCAACAATGCAGTGGGGCTATCCTACATACCTCAGTACAAAAAAAGAGAGCTTATAGAATGTCAGGCAGCTCGTTCTAACTAATAGATAGGTATTTACAATTAACATAAAATCCATGGAATAAATCTTTTGCTGCAGCATAAGAATAGTTTCATTCATTATGGATACTAAGTGTTATACAATAGGTAGAGGGTGTAAGAAGCATGAAAGTCTGGAACCTGTTAGTGCTATTCATTTCAACAAGAGCACTGTGATTAGAAGGAATGGCACAACACGTTGAGGCTTCAGAGTCCTGGTTTACACACATTAGCTTACACACAAATATGTGAGAATGGAAAAGTGCTTTTGGTTCTTAATTTTCTTTAGCAGTTTTGCAGCAACCTTCACCATGACAACCCCTCATCTTGTAAAATCTATACAACGCATCTATATGACTAGTTTTCAGAGGAACTTGAGAGCAAGGAGTCCTCTCAACTTCTGCATGGGTGCACCAACTCAAGAGACAGTCCCTTTGAGTCACAAATCCCAGTGATAAGAGGATGGAGCCAGGATTTCAACAACCATTTATGCATTTCTGGATAAGGAATTGACAAGAATGTATCCTGCTCTTTCCCCTTCTATCCCTCTAGCCCTACTACCAGCACTCCCATTTGGCATAGCCTTTAAATAAACATATGGACAGATCCTTGGTCTCTCATGTGGTCATTTAGTACCAGAAAGACTGTAGGCCTAGAGCTGAATTTGCCTTTCATTTCTTCTGCTTTAAAAAGGCACCCAACAATATTAACAAACCAATATACATACCACTTCTCTGGTTACCTATGGAAAACTTACATTTTTATGATTCACACACTTCATGAGGACCAGCTCCCTGTAAGCTCGCTTGGCATGAGTTTGGTTCTGAAAAGGTCTGCTGAGCTTCTTAATGGCCACGTTTCTGTCAAGGATGGCATCATATGCAGCACTGCAGTGATCACAAACACAGGAGTTATACATCTTAGAGAATATCCTGCATTTCTTATGGCAAATTCTTGAGCCTCAAGTCAGCTATTGCCTTTTTTTTTCCACTGAGAAAAATACTGGGACAAAAGAAGGAGAGAGTTTCTAGTGAGGAAAAAGATGTCAAAAGGAAACATGTACCATCACAGTGGCAGAAGACAGCATGCACCACTACTTCTGACCTTCAGTTTGTAGGAAATTAACACTCATTTTCAAGGGATGGGGAAAAATATAATTAAGTAACTTCACATAAAAATACAATAGAAACTGGATGAGACAAAAAGATATTCCATAAAGCAACTCTCTGTGCATTGGGTACAGCGGAGAGGCTTTTGCTTTTATTAAGGACACCTTCACAAGCAGCTCAATGAACAATTACCTACTTTTATCTAGGATAAAGTTTGTTTTTTCGTTATTATATTTCTAATGGAATAAAGTAATTTAATCATTCTTTGAGACCATATAATCCAATTCCAATAATATACCTAGAAACAGAACCATTTCAAAAGATTTCGTTACTATTTTCTTGTCACAATGAAAAAACAGTTAAAAATTTTCTAAACATGAAGAAATACAGGCTCTGGTTTGCAAAGCAGACTTTTAAACTTGGGCTCCTAAAATTCTTCTTAAACTCTTTAATGTTTTATACAACCTTGTGTTATTTTGATAAACGTCACTTCCTGAGAATTTGAACCATTTATTTTGTTTTGGTGGTTCGAATCTGACTACACAAATTTTAACTTGTGCATTTCACAAAGCACACTAATTCTTAGAAACTTTCCCAACGAGACAGTCCTCAGACCCTTTTGCTTATTCTCCCTTTTACCAAGAGTGAGGAAAGTTTTTTGCTACTCCATGAAGAGCAACAGTGTATTTCCCAAAAGATAAATCAACCAAACCACTACTTGCTCTAAAGATACTTATTTAAGCAGCAAAATAAACATTCAAAATCTTGTGTTCTATTTCTCATTCATTCCATTACAGAGTCCTACTAACCAAGTACAGAGCAGAAAGCATGTAAGCAACAGAAGCTTAGTCACAAAGCCAACAAAAATATACAAGTGCTCTAAATAGGTAGATAAGTGTTGGCAATGTATGTCCTGGAAATCGCACAGGGGGAGAAAAATACTTACACTACTCCTGAATAAAAAGCACACAAAATGCATCCCACAAATAAGAACAACTGTTAAAGATGATGAGTAATTTTTTGAAGAGTGCTTTAGTCCACTGCTGATACTTGGGGCAGGATGGTGGGGTTTCCCCTGAAAATATGTTCAGAAAGGAGAAAAGAAAAAGTCTCATAACTGCCCTTTCAGGTGCCTCGAAACCATCAGGAAGTTCTATTTTAACCTTTTCATAGTGAAAGTACTTCAGATCAAAATGTTAATTTACATAAAAAGTAAAAATAAATACTGAATCTCCCCAAAGTACCAACATTGTGAAATGCCAAGCACTACACCTGGGGAGGAATAACCCCAGGCACCATTATACACTTGGGGCCAAAAGTCTGGAAAGCAGGTTTGCAGGTTTGCACCAGAAGTCCTGGTGGACAGCCAGCTGAACATAAGCCAGCAAGGTGCCATCATGGCTAAGAAGGACAGCAGCATCCTGGGCTGCACTTAGAAAGACTGCTTCTAGGAGGTCAAGGGAACTGATCTTTCCCATTTGCTCAGTGCTGTTGAGGCCACATCTGGAGGGCTGGGTCCACCTCTGGGCTCTGTAGTACAAGAAAGATAGGAATGTATTGGAACAATTCTACTGATGAACCACGAATATGGTTAGGGACTGCAATATCTGTCATACAAGGAGAGGCTGGGCAAGCTGGGGTTGTTTACCCTGGTGAGACAAGGGGGGAGGGCCACAAAATTACAAAATGGAATATATAAATCTTTAGAATCAGTTTTAAGTAATGTTAAGTTTGATGGCTTTGTAACAGTAGCAATGGAAAATTACTGAGGTGCATGATACATAGAAAAAAAATAGAGTACAGCTAGAGAACATACTGAAAATTCTTGTACAAGATAAACCATTGTAATTGACGTAGTGTTAAGTAAAACATTCTAGAAGAACAGGATGCAAGGATAAGGAATATCCAGGATGAGCTACAGTTAAACTAACTGATAAGTAGGAAGACAGGTGGATTATTATGTCTGTGGTGTTAACGAACCAATTAAGCTGGTATAAACATCTACTGGCCAAGCTTCAAAGGCTGCCAGAAGTGATGAAGATTGTTAGAAGAAGTAAACGACCCTCAGAGACCACCGCCACATTTTTGTACGCATGCAGGGAACTTTCTGGAAAATTATGTAATCCATACTTAGCCTCACGAATATGTATGTATGCCCAGTGACTATATAAGGATGGCTTGTGTGGCAATACAGAGACTCATATTAGGCGGAGCTATCCCCCGTGTCTCCCAGCACCGCAAAAAAAGAATACCTGCTTGTCAGCTTGAAAACTTTGTTGGCAAGTTTGTTCCTGGAGTTTTCTCCGAATCACTGGAGAAGAGGATCTTATCTCTGTACTTAAGTATTTGCTAGGATGAGTAAAGAAGATAGAGTAAGACTCTTCCAGTGGTCCTGATCACCTTCTCTAGTTGGCTCCGCATTGAACAAGTGGCTTGGACTAGACACGCTCCAACATGATCCATTCTGTCATTTGATAACAATTCTTTCTTCTCTTCTTCATTAATAAGGCATGTAACTTTTATGACCCAGCTAATGTCATACTAGGCACATATATAAACAAAGACATTGCACTCACTAGTATGTATGAAGCAGCTTATGAGATAAGGTTATCAAAGATCCAGTCTGACCTGACTTCATTCTGGCCAGAGTTTCACTCAACTAAACCTTATGTTAGGAGGAAGAAGGTGTGTGATTTATAGCCTAATAGCACATAGAAAGCAAAAACTCCTATAGCAACTGTCAGAATTCTCTCATTCTCATTTAGTTCATCCACAACAAGCCACAACTAAAATACCCCTTAATAACATTAAGAAAGTACTAAACAAACAAAAAAACAAAGCTGAAAGATTTAAAACCTATGATCTTTCAACAGTTAAATGTTTTGACTCTATCAGTCATAGATATGTACTGTAAATATACTTCAGCAGACAAATCTCTCAGCTAATGACAACTTCATTTAAGAAGAAAAGCTTACATGAGACTCAGCTATGTAAGAGTACTTTGAATCATTTTAATAATCTTTTCTCTTTAATTTAAATCTCATTAGTTACATCATAAAATTGCTGACTAGGAGTTAGAAAAGAGTAACACTGAAAGTTTATCTGAGCAACCAAACTATTTTCTCCAGTTTCTGATCTCCACCAAAGAAAGAGATAAAAAAGCCCCAGTCTCAAATGGGAAAACCAAAGGCTTCTAAAGCCTTTGGATTTTGTGATCCATTCCCAGCCCTTTACATAGCATGGAGGAAAACAAAACAGTTAAAGTAATCATTTGTACAGGGATATTTACTTTGAGATACAAGGATCTTGACTGCTCTTCTATTACTGTTTCCTATCAAATGGAAGGTGTCCAACTACTTCAAGAAGTCAATACATATATTGATTGCTCTGTGTAAATTAATAGCACTGATTTTTTTTCTATTCACCAGAGAGAAGCTTTTGTTTACAGACAGCCAACTATGCATTTTACTACAATGAAATTACAGATACCACATGTAGGTCCTCTCTCTGCTGCTTGCTACACAAAATCCTTACCTTGGAACACCAAGGTTAGTATTGATGATAAGCCTTCTTAAGACAAACTTCAGTCACTGGCAGAAGAGTGGCTGTATAAACAGGTGACTCAAGGGAGCAGGAATAAGAGAGAGAGAGTAATGAGTGTCTGTGAACTGCTGTGAAAAGGCCGAGTGTGAAAGTCAGTGTCAAGATCTGCAACAAGAGATTGGACTTGCATCTAAAAGCCTGTTTGTCTTTCCCTGGAAACTCGTAACACCTCTTGCTCAACTGAATTTGTTTTTTTCATTTATACAGTTGCCCTATTTTTATAACAAAGACTACAATGCTAGTCTTGTAATAAAATTATAGCCCTACTGCAGCATGAGCTCAGAAAAATCCCCCAAGTTTACAACCTTATCTCTGGCAGCTGAACAGACAGAAAAAGCAGTAAATAAACTCTTTCCCTATAAGTTCCGTTTATGGCTAGTTTGGCAAGGTAAATGTTAGTATTTAAAATGCCTTTTTAAACTGTAAATAATTTGAAACAAACCTACTTAGCAGAGATAAAAAATTTTAGCCAGATGTGAATATAAATTCATGCCTTCAAAGAGATCTATGTAATTACAGCTATTTAACAAGACACTGCTGACTTCAGCAGGGAAAAAAGAAAGGAAATAAATGAAACTCATTCTAGTGAGATTTACACTAACTGAGATCATCATTTACCACTAATACTGTGTGAGAGTTCAGACCGTAATGATCAATGAGCAATGCTCTGTTATCATACACTTGAAAGACCAGACATTCATTTTTATGCCTATTTCAGAAAGGAAGAAAAGCATTCTAGTTTCACGTCCAAGTTTCTATTTCAACATGCACTTACCAAGTAAATACTTAAAACTATTTTTCCCGTACGGGAATAATTCTTTTAATCAACAATGAAACTTGGCATTTATCTACTCCATTATATTCTGTGCCAGAACAGACTGACAAAACCACAGAACACACTTATTTTTTAGATAAACTTTTAGCTAGGGGTTCCTAGTATAACAAATGACAATTTTTGACAGTCTTTAGTTTCAAGATTCTTCAGATAGTGCACACATATCCTTTTCAAGATGGTTATCCTTTCTCAAGCCACTACTTCATTAAAGTACTATTATTAGCCCTCAGATGACAGAATGGAAACCCAAAACAGGAAAGGAAGCTCCTAGACTCCTGGGGCATGCTGTGAAACGGAGACTTTCAGCAAACTCAGCAAACAGCTTTCTATATTAAGAAAG